GCTTTAGTCGGCGTCGATGGTAACGCTCCCGTGATCATCATGCACGCTACCCTTTGGACCGCTGTTAATTTGTTTCTAATTGTAGATTTATCTACGGAGGCCACCAAACCGTTATGCCGTAGAATAGAATGGGACGCACAACCGCTGTGTACATCCAGTTCACAATATGGGGCTTCAATCCCCATTTTTCCCCAATCGCCGATTTACAGGCATACATAGCAGTTATAGCTTTCTTGCAGCGCTCTTCTATATTGCGCCGCCAAGTTAACTTTCTGTCAAGAATAACGCCCAGATATCTAACCTCCTCCGAGAAAGTCAGTACGATACCGTTCAAGGATGGAGGTTGTAGCCGGACAGCTTTCGTTTTCTTTGAAAACAGAACCATGGCCGTTTTTGCCGGATTGACACTAAGTCCTACTTCTTTGGACCAGGTATCCACGACGCGTAAGGCGCCTTGAACTAAGTCACATAGAACTTGGGGGTGCAAGATCATCCGCGTAAGCAATGACTTGGCAACCTGTGCCTTGCAACCGTGACAGCGAGGTATCCACAGTTAGATTCCAAAGAAGTGGGGAGAGAACACCGCCTTGTGGGGTTCCGCGACTCGCATATCTTGTTATAGATACCTCCCCCATCTCCGAGTAAATAGTATTAAGTGTATTTAACTAAGTTTTACTGAATTTGAAATTGAAAAAAAATTTAATGAATTTTGAATCGTTTGTTTATATTTTCTGGCATAATAGTTCCTTAAAATAGAGTCTACCTGAGTTGTCAATCACACCTTGTTTAATACATCTTGCATACATACACGTACATACGTATATGCATTAAAAATGAACGCTCTACGTCACAATAAAAGGCGAATTTATACAAAGTGGTGTTACTGGCGAATTTACATTTTCGCCGCGGTACTTCTTTATGTCAGAATGATGTGTTTGTTGTAAGATGAATTCGCCTTGTTTACAACAAACGCATCAATTTGACATTAGGAAGTACCGCGGCCAAAATCTAAATTCGCCATCAACACCACTTTGTATAAATTCACCTTGTCACAAGACTTTGTTGTTTAAAAGATGATAATTCTCCAGGTGAAAATATTGCACCGTTTTACTGAAGTGTTGCTTCACACAAAACATTTTTGTTGCCAATATTGAGCAGTTACAATAGATTCAGTATAAAACTCCCTGTAACTGTCAGAAAATGTAGTGTACACCGAGGGCCAAACTCACAACCAAAAACCCACCGAATAAAATTGAGTGAGTTTTCGGAAGAGAAGTGTAAACAATTTTGACAGTCACACTTGCTGAATCGCAAAATAAAGAGTGCACATAATTGTCAGTGTACACTTGAAAACTCACAGTTACAGAATCCAGTCCCTTGAAACTGTTAAACTCCTAAAAATGAAAAATTTTGATTGGAAAACAACAGTCGAAATATTTTTACGAGTATATTAAAATCGCTTACTAAAAAATAACGGGACTTTCCGTTGTTTGTCAGCTTTTTCTTTTTGTCAATTAAACAAACCTCGTCTGCGAACCTGGCTATCTGCGCAAAGGTATTGTCAGATGGAATTATGCGAAAATTAATTAACTTCAAAATAATCATTTTTATGCTTTATGCTTTAATGCTTTTTCGCCAAAATATACATTTTGTGCTATAATATGCATTTGCATATTTTTGTCTTCCTTACTAATAACTGACATCAAACGAAATTATCGTATAAAAATATAAATACACATTTACGTAATAAAAATCTTCCGCGTTGTTCTAAACTGTACATACATATTTATTTATGAAAAAACTATAGCTAGTGTGATACGTAGGCGTCATAAGTTTGGATGTGCATAGTGATAGAACTTTTGAGAAAAGTATCGATACTAAATAGTACTCCTATAGAATACTCTAAAGATGAAGCGGTGCCGGTACTCATATTTGCCAAAAGGTATCGGTAATACTTGTATTTCCAACTATTTTTAAAGCAATCGTAAAAGTTAAACAAAATAATAAATAAAGTGGATAAGAATTTGGTGTTCATTTTTACAAAAATCTCGTATCGAATCAATATACTCCGCATTAGAAAATGCTGATAGAGTGGTGTCTTTTTTATTAGGCAATTTTTGAGAATTTGTCTATGTAATTGAAGGAATCAGTTTTTTGATGTAACTTTAAAATATTTTTGCATGTAGCTGAAAAAAAACTATTTACATATCGATACTTTTTGGTATTCGCGATACTTACTCATCAGTATTTGTCAAAAAGTATCTCGAGTCCCCGATACTACTCAGTACTTAGAAAAAGTATCGATATTTTTTACTCGGTACTCATATCGTTCTATCGCTAGATGTGCATACATATCTCCATATCTACATTGAGAGCGCACTCTTTGCCTTATGTTTCCTTCAAACTACAGAATCGTTTTTTCAGTACAGCAAAAGTAATACCAAATAATAGTATCGCCCAAACAAACTTGAATACATAATCCGTTCCTATTAATAAAACCACAAAGTCAAATGTAAATGTAGTACCTTTGAAGAATAATCTTTTCACTTTGATCGTTTTATTCATAACACCATACTTCTACATATATATGTACATATGTATGTTTGTCTAGTATATTCGTATATATGCAACCGTATATTTGAATATTCAATGTTATATATGGCCATGTTTCGGATAGAAATCTTTCCAAATACCGTATTTCGGATAGCAAGTGAAAATAAGAGCCGGATTTTTATATCCGATCGAATATGCGGTAGTCTACTGTGCCAACGAATTTTACAATATTGTTGCGCTGTGTTTTTGGTGAACTAATAAATCAGTAATCATGAGAAGACCAGTTCAATCATGTGAGAAATATCGAACTTTAGTGAAAGCTTTTCGGCAATAGTTATTGCTAGATCCTAAAGGAACGTTTGTTGCAGACATCATTATCATTTATGAAAAATGTGACAAAAAGTTGTTCATCTTTATTTTTGCATATTTTTGTTATTTTTTCAAGCTATTATTTAACTTGGCCATCGCGCGGAGATATCCAATCCATTTTAAGCTACATAACATCTCGACAAATCAAAGAATCACGCCAACTCAATTCAAGCATGTGCAATAGGGTGGTAAAAAAAAAATAAAGTAGATTTTTTCCCCTTTATTGATTGCGTATTTAAATTAATACAGGGTTTTCTCAGAAAAGTACATTTTGTGTGAGAAGATAGCTTAACATACATAGTTATTTTTACTACGCTGTCAACTGCGTTAATTTTGTGGATGGAAATGGAAATTATTGCGATTAATTAAATTTTATGCTCTCACCTCCTAAAATTGTCCTACACCGAAAAGAATGTTACCCCTGTTTTTTATTTTGAAATCAAAAATTCTTTAAAGAGGTCGCTTAAAGCGCTCAAAATTTTCCATGTAATTTTTGTAGGGAAAAAACAATATTTCCTAGACGTGGTATGGAATTCTT